CAGGAGCCATTCTGGAATATTTAAGTTCCATTGACAAACACTTCGGGCGGCCTCTCCCTATTTTTAGTTCAGATACTTATAGAGCGACATCTGAGTGCGTGCACGCCTACTGGCCCGCAGCTGGGAACCACACAGCCTGACTGCCCAAATAAGGCGGCAAAGCGTGCCAGCCCCACCAGCGAGGCCGACAGGTGGGCAGCACGAAGAGGTCTGGGCGCCAGGGCTGGGCTCTCTGCTGGTCAGATTCCGACAGACACGGGCTGTGCTGCGTCCTCAGCACCATCTGAAAAAGCCAGTCATGGCTCCACAGCGCGGCCCTGCCAGCTTACCTTCCAGGGCGAGCAGGTTCAGGGCCCCTCGCCCCTGTGGGAGGCTCCTTGCTGTGGGGAAGCCACTTGCAGCCGGCTGGGCTCTGCAGGCCGGGGGGCCAGTGACACTCTGACCTTCAATGTCTCTCCTCCCAGTCACCCTGGGAGTGCTTTCATGGACGTGGGTCCTTGGTGGCTCTGGGAGCTCCCTGGAACCCAGAGCAAGCCAGAGCACCCAGTAGGTGCCTTATGTGGAGATGCTCGTCAGGAGGAGGAGGATGCCTCTTGTAGACATTTGAAACCTCTAGCTGAGAACATCGGAATTCCTGAGATCTAAAGTCAGGAGCCATTCTGGAATATTTAAGTTCCATTGACAAACACTTCGGGCGGCCTCTCCCTATTTTTAGTTCAGATACTTATAGAGCGACATCTGAGTGCGTGCACGCCTACTGGCCCGCAGCTGGGAACCACACAGCCTGACTGCCCAAATAAGGCGGCAAAGCGTGCCAGCCCCACCAGCGAGGCCGACAGGTGGGCAGCACGAAGAGGTCTGGGCGCCAGGGCTGGGCTCTCTGCTGGTCAGATTCCGACAGACACGGGCTGTGCTGCGTCCTCAGCACCATCTGAAAAAGCCAGTCATGGCTCCACAGCGCGGCCCTGCCAGCTTACCTTCCAGGGCGAGCAGGTTCAGGGCCCCTCGCCCCTGTGGGAGGCTCCTTGCTGTGGGGAAGCCACTTGCAGAGCTGGCTGGGCTCTGCAGGCCGGGTGGGAAGGGCAGAATAGCAGGTCCATGCAGGCCTCGGGGAGAAAGCTGAGGCCCACAGAGCATCTTTGCTCACGATAGAAAAGGAGCTCTGTGTTAGGCACGACCCCAGGTCCCACAGAGGCTGCACAGGAGGCAGTGGAAAGCCCCAGAAGCTCAGCAGGACCAGCAGGGGCAGCCCTGGTTCCCTGCTCTAGGCCTCAGCAAGGGCCACACCCTGGCTTTAGGCTTCAGGCTCTCGGAGCCTGCACACTGTGGAGTCCAGGGAGGCAGGCTGGCCAGGCCCATGGCCTGGCGGTGGTGGTCAGATGAGGTCGAGCCAGCTGAGCAGCAGGGCACCTGAACTGCCTCAGTGAGTCTATCAGTCGGAAGGGGCCTCCCCTAACCAGAAAGAACGGCCTTGGTTTGTGGGCCCTACTTGGCTGCCCGGACTCTCCGGGCTCGAGATCACGCTCATGCTTGGGCTGCCAAGCCACCTTCTCCCTTTTATAGGAAAGCCCAGAACTGTGGCAAAGAAAGTGCAGCACGGCTTCCTCGGGGGAGGGGGGGAGCAATGATCTGCTGTGGGCAGATTGCCCTGCCGGGGCCGTCCATCCTCCAGCTACTTTAGAGAGCCAGGGGAGTCAGCTCTGGGGACTTGCAGGGGGTCTACGGCCCTGCAAGCCCCTCTGCCCCCACCCCCTCAGCTCATGACCCTGGCAGGAGGCAGCTGGGTCTGGCTAGGCTGGTTGCTCCTGAGGGATCCTTCCAGGGGCTCCTTAGAGCTCAGGTCAGAGCCGGAGTGCAAACGCTGAGGGCTGTTTTGAGGGATTTCCCTCCCTGAGGAGGGAAAGGCTGCCGCCGCGTGGCCAAGGGCTGGTTCGCAGGATGACTGGGCCGGGGCCTGCTGGGGGCAGGGCTTGGCCACTGCCCAGGACTGTCTCCCTGCAGCTGACCTGCACAGGGCATTCACTCTGTCCCTAGCTCAGAGCTGGGGGAGGAGAGCCGGATGTCCAGACAGCTTGCTTGGGGCTTGGGATTAAGGGAAGCCTCCTGGCTTTGAGGGGACACAGGATGATGCATGGAGGGTGGTATCTTGGGGGCCCTGCGTGGGGGCCTGACCTGAACCCTGGCCAGGGATTCTTGCCATGGGGAGGGGCAGAATGAGCTGGACACACGTGTGGTGGGAAGGCTGCTGGACAGCCTGGGGACGTGGGGTCTGGCTGTGTCTGGGAGCCAAGGCCAGGGCCAGGGTTTCTAGCCACTGGGAGTTCTTCCCTTTCCCTCCCTCCTCCCTCCCAGCAATGTCTGAGCTGCCCGGTGGAGCCCGCCAGAGTGTGGGGCGCGGCTGCTCGCATTTCTCCCTGTCTCTCTCTGTGTCTCCTCGCTCTTTCTAATTTGTATTCTCTCCTCCTTCTCCACTTGAGTTTCATCTCAGGCTGGTTTAAACTTTTCATGCCGTGTTCTCCATGCAGAGTGTAAAGGTCTGCAGGGAGACCCTGAGTGGGACCCAGGCAAGATGTGAGCGTGAGATGGGTCGGGGTGAGGTTGTCTCTCAGGGGCCTTGCCCCACTGCCTGATACCCTGCCCTCCCCTGCCCCCAGTAAAGGCAGAGTGACAAGAGGTCTCAGGAAAAGGTCTGGTGCAGCTAGATACCAAATCTATCCTGGGATAGGTCAGAATGCTCTGCTTCACCCCGGGACGTGCTCTGAGATTAGGGTATCAGAGAAAAACGTGTTCCCGTCCACGGCCACCCTCTGCTGTGAGGCTTGCTCATCTCCCAGTCTAGCTGGGGCAACGAGATCGATGGAACAGAACTAGAAACAGTGGGAGGAAGTTCAGTCGGAGCATCAGAGAAGCGACGAAAGCGGGTCAACTGCGTGTGATGGTGTTTGCGGGGCGATGTGCCCCACGTGGGGCTTGCATTCTGTAGGAAAGAGTTGTCGCATGTCCAAAAAGACCCATGGCTGGAACAAAGCTGTGAGCTTGTGCTTCATTCACCCTCCAAGTGTTGACCCCTCTCCAGTAAGCACGCACAGAGGAAAGAAGTCCTTTGCAGAGCCGCAGCCTGACCCCCCAGGCATCACTGCGGGTTAGCGGAGAGCTACAGCCTGACCCCCCGCCCCCCGCCCCCCCGGGGTTCACTGTGGGTCAGCAGAGAGCTGTAGTCTGACCCTCCGGGCATCAATGCGAGTCAGTGGAGAGTTGCAGCCTGACCCCCCGGGCATCACTGTGGGTCAGCAGAGAGCTGTAGTCTGACCCTCCGGGCATCAATGCGAGTCAGTGGAGAGTTGCAGCCTGACCCCCCGGGCATCACTGTGGGTCAGCAGAGAGCTGTAGTCTGACCCTCCGGGCATCAATGCGAGTCAGTGGAGAGTTGCAGCCTGACCCCCCGGGCATCACTGTGGGTCAGCAGAGAGCTGTAGTCTGACCCTCCGGGCATCAATGCGAGTCAGTGGAGAGTTGCAGCCTGACCCCCCGGGCATCACTGTGGGTCAGCAGAGAGCTGCAGCCTGACCCCCGGGCATCACTGCGGGTCAGCAGAGAGCTGCAGCCTGAGCCCCCGGGCATCACTGTGAGTCAGCGGAGAGTTGCAGCCTGATCCTCCGGGCATCACTGCGGGTCAGCAGACATGGTCATGTGGACAACGTCTTAGCGGCTTGGCCACCGAGGACTGCTTTACCATCCAATGCCTGGGTGGTCAGGACTCGGGAGGAGGTACCTCAGGCTGAGCAGGGACTGGTCTCCCCCAGCAGAGCACCTGCTTCCTCTCAGGAGAAGCGGAGCTGTGATATGTTCACTTTCTGCCTTTGCCTGGAAGCACAGGCAGGAGGATCAGGCTTGGGGCTCAGCGCTCGCCCACCCCCGCCACAGGCTCGGCCTTGAGGGTTTTGGTGGTATGATTCCTGTTTGCAGGTTTGCAGGGTGCCTGGGTTCCCAGGGCAGGCTGCTGGGCTCAAATGTTTGCCCGCCACTTTCTGCTTCTCTTGCCCCTTGGGCATGCTCCTGAATCCTCGACGCGCCCGACTCCTGGTCTATCTAATGGTGATGGTAGCAGTGTGTACCTCACCGTTGTCGCAGGCCAGCACTGCGCCCCACATCTGTCTCAGAGGCAGTGGCCATTTAATGTGCACCCCCATGCTAAGGCCCATGGCTTTGCTGGAGCCCTTTCAGGGTCCACACATGGACCACGGGCCCTGCCAGGCCTCCTGTTGTAAGGTCTCAATCCCTGGCTAAGATCGCGAGGCATCCGGGGCATGCTCTGTCACCATCACTCGTTCAGCAGACACCAGTGCACACCCTGTGTGCGGGCACGGTGTCCAACACTGGGCCCTGCACCAGCAGTTCCGTGGGGTGCCCAGCAAGACCGCGCATGTGATGGGTTAATGGCTGCGGAGCTCCTAGGTCAGGGCCTGGCACGCCGGAGCACTGCTTAATGTTAGGTGAATACCAGCGTGGTTGGTTAGGGGCATGTGCAGAGGCCACGGAGCACCCAGGAGGGGCAGCTGAGCCAGGGGCGGGGAGTCAGGGACAAGGTGACATGGAGCCAAGCCCAGGTGAGGGAGGCGAGGGAAGAAGATGGGGCTGGGTGTGCCCAAGGCAGGAGGTGCCTGGCCTGCCGGGGGACTGGAAGCTCTTCCA